ACTATGGTGCCAACTGACATTGCCATCTATAAAACAAGGATAAAACTCTACAGCATACGTCTCATTACAAAACAACCCAGTTCTAAATAGGTGTACCCCGTATCCTTGGTTTCTTTACTAGCAAAGTAATTAATATTCTTCAAACAAGAAGCAACAATTGTAGACTTTTCATGTTATGTGGCAGTATTATCATAGAATCCATTTGAAGTCAGGACAACAAGACCTGCTTGTGACCGGAAAGGAAATACTGCACATTTAACATAGTTCATTATTAACAAGGACAAATTATTCCCTAACAAATATACAAAATTACCGCCAAATCGTCAGCGACAGAAGGTGATGCTTTCTCATAGAGGACGGCTGTCTAATTGTCAACTTAGAAGCTCAGATGATACTCAGCTATACGCCCCCTACAATCACTGATTATTTGGTATACTTTAGAGCTCGTACCTCTTATAGCATTATTTGCGAGGAGAATCTACTACTGATCATTCGTGGAAATCAGGAGAGAAAAAGATCAAAACAATGTTTGAGTGATCAGTTAGTTTATGTGCAATTCAAGTTCAGTGCGAGTCATGAAATTACGCAGAATTCACAAACGACAATGAAACGTATTGGTCATTATTTAGAAAAAATCTTAGGACTGTTTATAATTACAAATTTGTTAAAATATGCTTTTTAAGAGAATAAAAGTAGTAAAAACTGACATCAAAACATTGCTTGTTTACCTTTAGAGAGAAAAGGAAATCCGTGGTAGCTCAACTATTTTGTTGGAAGTTTTAGTTGATGGAAATATATTACAAGAGGAATGTACCAGTAGTATGAAGACGGATCAACTACACCACCGTTAGTTGGTCAAAATCTACAATTCGTTGTTGATACCAACATGGGAAGAGAAATAAACTTTACAATGTCCTAAAACTCACAATTTTTATATACAAATATCCAGATTTCACTACTCGTTCACCGTCGCTACAAAACAACCCTTCATGAATCCACGTGTTGAACAGCCTGCCTTGCATCGAAGTATCCAATAAGACTATTTCTTTGTAAAAAAATATAATTACTGATAAATTCTGTTTAAATTAAGTTAACAAGGGTCATTTGGTTTCCATATTATTCATATACTGTTTAGTTAGCTTTTCAATATCTTCAGGACTAATACCACTCTTAAGTGTCCTTCGAGCTGTGGAAAAAAAACAGTTAAATGTGAGAAAAGATTAATCCTGGTTTTCGATAGAGCTTTACTACTCTTTCAGAATGGAATGCTCGTAGTTAATAAGTCCCCATGCATTTTCTCTCACTGAAAAAGAGAGGCACTGTATAAAAACACGTCACAATGATTCGCGACGTGGACAGATAATCTTCAAGCCACGTTCGATTATTGTACGAGAAGATAAGCCGAGCTACTTCTTCCCTTCAAACGCACTGCACTGCATTTTTTTACTGCCCTATGGCCAAATAACTCTACGTACACACTAAATCGTGGCGGGAACATTCGGCTGCAAAACTATCTGCTTTCCCTCTATTACCCTCCTAATCTGCTAACTTACTAACCTGATTTTCTATTGGAAGCCCTGGGTCGCTTTCTTCCCTGTCTTGTTCTTGAATCCGGAACTGTCGCCGACTTGGCCAACGTGTTGATCACTTCATCAGTAGTGTCGTCTTGAAATTCATCTAGTGTTTGTATGCCAGAATTAGTGCGAGAGGGACCAGCGCTCTTGATCCTGTTCCGTGTTCCCGGCAGTGTGGCGCTTTTCAACTTCTCTCTTGCGTTATCCGTTTCATCACCATTAGATATGAGAGCTTTACGAAACGCTTCTATGTTTTCCTCAGCGGATACCTTGGCGGCTACTGAGTAAGACTGGGAACAACGAAAACGAACGGGGAATTTATGACAATACCATCAAGAAATATTTTTAATAAAAATTAGTTATCTTCCTTTACACTAATGGTAGTTCTTAAAGTATTAGGTCTAAATGTAAGTCGTTACCTCTGTTTCTGTAATAAGTTTTCCTCTCGTCTTGCTACGTTCCCTCATGTTCTCTTTCTTCTTCTTCATCTGAATCACGCGTTCCCTGGTGGTTCGGTATTCCAAAGAAAACTCACTGATAATCTTACAAAACTCGTTCACCTGGTAAAACAGAATGACGTTGACAATTGAAGTAAACTCTTCATTTGCCAGCACACCAAAATCAACGTTAGCGGTTAAATTCCGAGCTGTGTGACTACAAATAACGCTCAACAAACTAACACATACTCCCCATGCCATGTTACCTTGGTCTTGTTCGCTACGCTTGACTGTAGTCCAAGGTACAACAACATCTTGTGAAATCTTTAAAAAACAATCATGAAAATAATAATTGATAAACGGGCGCCCAAGTTTATGCCAAGAGAATTACTGTACTGGTTTCAAAGTATCCCCTCAGGCAAAATATGAATTGAAATAAATATGTGCGTTACCTGCACACCTTCAAAATATGTTTTTCTGAGTGTAATTCTGGTTTAAAGTCGTAGCTTTTCATCTTCAGCCGTGAAGAATTGTGTCGATTATCTCCTCCGAGTGCTTTGCACGATTTTTCTGATCGATTTTTTTAACTTTTGTGAAAATCAGAGAGCACACGATCAGAGATGTGTCTAACCTGTTGATGACCCGTCTGTGGACAACTTTGAGGATTGTGCTCCGCTCCTGAGCGTCTGCTAAAAATTCACTCATTCTAGAAAAAGAGCGGCAGTTTAACCAGGCAAGCTAAACTTTCTCTTCCATAAATTAAAAAGTCATAGCCAATACAAAAAACTTTCTTCCTATTTTTACAACTAACTTAAGTCAAAATTTGACATTTTTGACTAAAGTCGTGCGACATTTGGTGTGAAAACTACTAACGCAGTAACGAGAAAAAAGAAAACATTGAATAGAAGCAAAACATAATGAAAGAAAGCCGCGGCATGCGTACTTAACTCTGTATTTCGCGCCTGTATTAACTGTCGATGTGTCTATTTAAAGTGAATATTGGTAGTGCGTTACCAACACTTAACAACTCTAATTTTCTTAAAAGATGCGCAATGACAATAAAAAAGATGCGCAATGACAATAAAAATTTAAAGCTGGCTATCTCATAAGCTTACTATCACATCACACTGGCTCGAAGGTTTTTTTTTTAAACTCGTGGTCTCTTTGACTTACTTGCTTTTGAGTTGTTTGGTGCTGTCATGTTTGGCAACAATACTCAAGTATTCCCAAGACTTTTTACAGTTTTCACGCAGTTTCTTTAAGTTATCCATCACCACATCAAAGTCCACCTTAACGCAAAAACAATACGAGCAATTATTGAAACGTCGATGATAAGATAAGGTAACTCACAAAACTCACCTACACATAGAAGCTCAGTAAAACAGGAGGTCTTTCGCTCTAACGAAGGGCTAACGCTCGAAACGTCAGCTTAGCAACTCTTTAGGGTTGCCAACTCACATTACCAACTCAGACGATAAAACTGAATTATCATGTTACACTTCCCTACTGAAGCAGCTCCACAATTTCTTAATAAACTTGCCCTCTTTATTGATTTGTCAGTCTGTCTGTCTGTCTGTCTGTCATTCAGTCAGAAATGACGAGCAGTCTTGTCAGGCACTCAGTTGCAAAAGTACCACTCGCTCGTTAGCTCAATCAGTACGAACTTCGATGATCAATCAACCACCGGACTGACAGTCACTCAAACAAAAAGCTATATCAGATCACGTACCCTAGAGCTGCGATGTAAGGCTCCTAAGTCACTATAAAAATCAGTGGAGTTTGGAAATTTGTCCATCACCATACAGCACAAGTGATATAACAACGACTGCTTGTGCACTGTGTCTTTCACTTCTGGTACTTTTGCCAGATAGTCCAACTGGAACCCCTTCACCTGTAATCAAATCAACAACAGTCTGAATCACATTGCACTAAGAACTGAATGACAAACGAAACTAAAGTTGCACAAAATTTAGGACAAATTCACTCTTGGTTAAATTCTGTTAAATTTTCTTTTTAAAGATCACATAAAATTTAAGTTCAGTACCTTTTTTCCATTCAAGAAGTTTCCAATTGCAAGGAGAGTGGCCAATATATGTTTGAAGGTGTCGTTGTTATGCAGTTCTTGTACAGACTCCTTTAAATCCATTAGAGGCTCCGCTACCTCCTGAAAATCAATCAAACACCTTACTTCAGTCTGACTTGAATTATCACCAAGCATTGAGTGAGGTGAAAAAACTCTCCTTGGTTTCGGTCGTAACGATTTCTCACCCTTTCTAGCTGATCATAGTCAAGTTTAAAGGCCCACAGATGCAAACGCGGCGCCAGTTCGTTAATGGAGGACATTGTTAGCAGGAACTGCTCAGCTGTCCCCAAAGGCACGTCTGGGTTTGACATATGAGCCTCCTGTATCTTGGTTTTCTCTTCCGCCGTTGGTTGTAACTGGAGCAATTTCTACAGAAAGAAAATAACACTTCATCAGTGAAACCAACTGGCCCCGGTTGTTCGAAGGTCAGATAACGCTGTCCAAAGGATTAATCTCCATGCGGTGGATAACGCTATACGTTTTGTTATCACTTATCCGCGGGATAGCGATTTATCCGTTGAATAGCTTTATCCGCCCTTTATACAACTGGGCCTTGGACATCACAAAGCACTAAATAAAACAAATAAGAACGACTTACTAATCGTTTTGAGGGTTCTGACCTATTCAAAAAAATGCATAGTGGAGAATTTGAAAAGAACAGAGAAACTGTCCATAGAGCGAGACTCAAATGTAATTTTGAAGAAGCCCGTTCGATTTGAATTTTCTTGCACCTGTCAAGCATTGTCAGGTCGATTGACTGGCTCTGAAAGAGCCCCTTTATCATCTTTTATTACATCCAGTAAGTGTAGTGCGAAAATTAGCAGTTACACTGACAGAACTGCTTGATACCTTAACAGCTGCTCTGAAATTGAAACGGTCATCTTGTTTTCATTGCGAATAAAAAAGTATTCAGTCTAAGAATAAATTTGAAATTTCACAGACATAGTACTTCACCTACAACAAAATGGTATACTTCACGATAGCTTCTCATGCTACGTAAATTAACAGATAGCGTTGCGTGACCGTAATAATACTTACATCAATCCCCTCCCTATCGATTACGGCGCTGTCCATCGCCAGAATAGCTTGCTTCAAAGCTCTGATGGGTGGTAACTTGGTCAAACCGATGTTAATCGCTTGAGATCGCTTCATTTCCAGAACAACTATTTCCTTCTTTTTGTCTTTATCTTCACCCTCGCCTTTCTACAAGGAAAAAAAGAAACCTCGATAAAAGGCAGATGTATTTGGGGTTTAGCACATTTCCGATCTAGAACTTCCTTCAACTCTAAATGAAAGGAAAAGCTATCACAGAATTTAAATTCTGAAGCTGAATTTTACGCAACACGACAGCAACATACATAGCGTTTTTAAAAAGGAAGGCTCTGTACCCCTGACCTTTTCGTCCTACCATTTGTAAATACGATCACCTCTTTGTTTCACACGCTCGTTTATTCGACCACCCTTAATAGCCACCCAATTTTCCAGGCCAATTAGTGGTCAAAGTAAAGGGGTCCTAGCAGACTTTTTTTTGCGGGTAATTATTTATTAAGAGGAAATCTACGCTAGTGGGAGAACGAAGTAAACAAAACTTACTTTCGAATATTGTAATAGTTATGACAGTTCCTCACCTTTACTTTAGCAGTCGTTTTGTTCTCAAACAAGTGTTCCAGTTTTTTGGTATCAACATCCACAGAATCAATACTTCCCCAAATTGTCTTGTTTACACCGTTTATAAGGGGTGAATTCTTAACCTCTTGCCAAAATAAACGAACCAATTTTTTCTTCGGATTAGCATCATTCACAACGGGTGCCTTGGGTAGTCCCGGGGGAGGTGGAGGGGGAGCAGCACCACCGGGAGGTGGTGGAGGGGGCGGGGGGCCACCAGGGAAAGGGGGTGGGGGCACAGGAATCCCAAACATGGGAACTCCTCGATGAGGATGGGCATCTGTTTCATCTGCTTGGGAAGACGTACTGTCCAGAAGTTCATCTTCATCATTCTCTAATTCAGTGAAGTTGAATTCGTTTACAATGAGTTTCCTTTTTAGTATGATCATTTTCTCCCATTCCAGTTCCTTTTGTATAGCGGCTTCTTCAGCGGCTTTCCTAGCAGCTTCTTCCTCCTGTCTTTTTCGCTCTTCCTCTTGTTTCTTCCGTAGTTCTTCCTGTTTTCTAGCCTCTTCCTCCGCAGCCGGATCAGGTTTGTCAACAGTTGGCTGTTTTGTAAGCCCAGACTTTGCTTTCTCCACGAGTCCTTCAAAGTTGCCCTCCGGAGGACTAGAGGGTGTCTCATTTTCCTCGTCAACCTCAATACAACCACTCAATCTCTTCACAGCCTCATTTACTAAATTATCAACTGCAAGTAACTCTGTTGGCCTCTGCCCGGCTTCATCGTTGCCTCCGGACGACATCAGCTGCTGTTTCCTTTCCTGAACTGAATCCCCTCCTGGAGATAAAGTACCATCCATGCTTTTCCTATCGGCATCATCAATGGACTTTTGTCCGTATAACATTGATAACATCATCTTTTTGTTGGGGAATCCTGGAAATCCTTCACAGACACTCGATCGCTTCTCCGGATCTACAACACTGGGCCGCCTACCATCATTTGTAGAACTACTTGTGCTAGTTCGTCTGTTGATATGATCTTCCGAAGACGTTACAGTTTCTGTATGTTCATTATTGTTAAGCAAATCGTCCGTACTAGAACCAAGTTTATCGTCAGTGTCCTCACTTTCATCACTAGTTCTTTGATCTGAAGATCCATTATTATCTAAGTTGTTCGTCAAAGATTCCCTACTGCTGTCTCTCTTTACATCAGGAGTCTTTTTCTTACTCACTACCGAAACGTTTAAGTCCTTTCTATACGGAGATTTTTCCTCTTTGTGCTCCGAGAAATCTTTCCTGTGACTTGATGCCTCAGCCTTTGGTTGCCTTCCGAGATCTTCATGCGCCCGCAGAGTTTCTTCTCGATGCCCCATTGATTTATAACTTGGTTTCTCTAAGAAGCAAAAATAAACGAATAAAATTTAAAAAATCGTTAAAGTAGCCTTAAGATTTAAATTTTTCTTTCCTAATGATCGCACAAAATTTTGATTAATTTTTTAAGAGGGGAATCTTTCGTGCTCAACCTATAGCAACGCTGGCAACTGCGACGGCAATTAAAAAAGTAAAAATAGTACATGCGATGTGATTTGAATGGAAACACCGATAGCATTTCAAGTTACAACAGTCACTTGACTATTAACAGATCAGCTTACCATATAACAACTGTTCAAAATAAAATTCTCGCTCTCCTTACTTCTTTTTCTTTGCAACAAAAAGTCGTGGATAGAGATGGTGCAATTGCTAGAGTTGGTCGAGCACTGCACCGGTATCGCAAAGGTTAAGGGGTCCAATCCCGTACAGCCCTTAGGCCTTATTTTCATTGCTGCTCAAGTGGTGTTCATTACTGCGAAGATCGCTTTCATATTCACGTCTTTATCCGCAGTTCAAATATATGACTTTCGTATGTTCACAGTCGTTTAGAACAACCATAATTGCAACAGGTTAACTACAGGTGACTTTTTCGTGCTTTACACTTTAAAAATTCAACGATCTCCATTAAACACACATTTACCTTCTATTTGTGGCTCCTCAAACTTGAATCTTCTCCGGCTAAGCGTTGGTGAGTTTCTGGGGGAAGGGCGTGGTGATGATCGAGGTGATGAACGAGGTGACCGTGGTCTGTCGCTAGGTGGTGAAGACACCTCCAAATGATTCCTGTCATTTGCGCTGTTCTTGCTGTCAGATCGCTGTCTGCCTCTGTCATTCCTACTAGGTATGGACGTCTCTGGTTCTGGTTCAGCTATCCCCAAGGCAGCCCGTCTAGCGGCGCGGCGCTGCCTACAAGACAACATCAATCAAGTAAAGCAAACTCTAAATAGATTAACAAAGTCTTTTCCAACAAAATAAAGAGAAAAAGAATAACGGGCTGTTCAATTCCCCACATTCTGCTTTGTTCAACAAAATCCATTATTGGATGGCATACTAGAGTAATGCCGCTTAACAGGTCCGTTTGGACAAATAATTTTCTTTGAGTTAAAACTAGTTTTGTAGAAATCATCTTAACGGTTTATGAACGTATATTCCACGACCACTACTCAATTTTTCTTCAGTTCTTATTTCACCCTTTGTATAGAGGGTCAGGGGTAATATCACACCATAATAACGGGTTGATTGCAACCTCAATGGGAGTTACAATTAATCTGTGCCACGCAGATATTCAGCATGGAGCGCTTGCCATAAATTTTTCTTTCGTGCTGGAAAACATAGCAATATTACTCCACCAGAAGTACAGGAAAAGGAGTAAAAACTAGTTCTAAACTATACCCACATTAATTTGATTCTGGTACTAGGATCTTTACTTCCAAAATTTCTTTCCATCATCTCCATCACCGACTCTCACTTAGTACGGGATGCATTTTTGGAATTCTGAAATTTTGAAAGTCTGGTGCTAGTCGCATTAAGAACAACCTATATTTCTTAGGCTGATTGCCAACGATTTGTGTTTAACGTACTTTCTTTCTAAACGATTTTTAGTTTTCTCGTCCAATTCTGACTCTGTTGACGATGATGGTGTTGTGCTTGCTGAAGTCTTAACAGGCAAAGTAGGGGGCTCCACTTTCACAGCGGTACCCACATTAGGAGCACTGGCCACCTTATGCATTGAGCCCTCCCTGATTTTGGCTCTTGGAGGGACAAGGAGGTTGTCCTTTGTGATGGATGATACGTCAATTTGGCTGACTGAATTATGTCGTCGACTCCGTCTTCTGTCACCTAAAAAGTTTAAAACATCGACTTAATCAACACTCACTGGTACATTCAACCCTCATTGGCCAAAATGAATATCACAAGAACAATTTGCTCCACTTAAAACATGGACGATATTACGCCATACCTGTAGCATACGATGTCGTCCTTTTTCTTTGTCTACAGAGAGAAAATTTCCATGCATGAAACGGACGAATACAAAAAAACCCTCGCCTCATGCAATGAAGCAGACAGTTACATAGTTCAGAAGGTAAGATTCTAAAGAAACTGTGGTACTGCGTCGGTGGGAGAGTATGACAGGGTAATTTAGTGTTATCAACTAAGTTGATAATACTAAATTACACAGTTCAACTGCATCAGCGACTCAGTTTAGAATAACTTTTACAAACCAAGAAAACTTAGTAAGATTAAAACACCTGCCCTACCTTATTGATGGAGAAGTTCCAAACGCTGGGAATTCTTCATCACCATCCTCAATTCTGAGTGCCGTCTAAAATTGATTGGAAAAGATTCTGAGATCGCTTTACTTACACAGGACACATGGCTGCTAAGCTAGAATAAAATTTCCAATTACAGAAACAGAAAAAATCGCAGTCAGTGCACAAGTGTATATCCACAGAGCAAGAAAAACATTATGTGTCTTGTTAGTAGGTAAATGTTAGGAAATAATGATTAAAACATGTTTTGCAGGAGTAAAATCAATTGAAACTTATTTACCTCATAAATATTAAACTGTTCCATCAAGTCAATATTTGTTCCATTGCGTTTTTGATGCATCTAACAGAAAATAGTTGACATCAGCATGAAAGTAATTTTCTTGTAAAGAACCACTACATACATTATCATAGGAACTTGAATTTAATCCTGATGGCCAAATACTCAAAGAACCTTAAAGCTGAGAGTTAACCCTTCACACCCTAACATCAGTATGCATATTCTCCATACTGTTCTCCTTACATTTCAAAAGAGGCTGACAAGGAGAATTTGTTTAGCAATCAAGAGCTGCTTTGGTAGGTGATCATCTCCTCTATTCTCATAACTTTCATGAATGATTCAGGGGTGATATAGTGAGGAGAAAATAAGATGCTAGGCACTCTTAGGGGCTAAAAGGTTAAGAGGAAAAAAAAACACCCCTGAGAAAAGCTGCCCTTAGAAAATTAAGGTTAAGGAAAAGTACTGAGATAACAAAAGACCGGTGTTTGCTTATAATACAACATTACAATGAAAGGAATGCCTTTTTTTCTACCTTGCACCTTATAGTTTCCAGTTTAGGGTATTTTCATAGTTTCTGCACATGCCAAATCTGTTCTTACGATTGTTCTCTAATTCTCTAGGGATCATATCAGTATCTTTAAATTTATTTTTAATGTACACATCAAATGCTTTGGTCCAAAACATCATGATGTCATGATTTGGAAAAAAATACGCATCCCCCCTACTCACTGCTCCAAGAAGCAGACCCTATATGCTTAAAGTTGAAATAAACATTTGTATATGAATGGGTTTTACCTTTATTATCTGTTCCATTCCTTGTTCTTCTAGTGCATCAGTTATATCATAAAACCCATCTTGAGTTGGTGTTGCATACAAAACCTTGAAAAACATCACCAGATCAAAAAACATAAGACAGCTGCAACCCTACAGTTCATGCATAATGTTCACTTCATGTTGCCATAGGTTAGCAACAGATCACAGAGGATGTCAAAATGTGGTTAGAACAAAAAAGTGGTGCACTAGGTATTCGTTTTATATAATAAAAGAGCAAAATGTTATTAATAGTGATGTCATCCATGTGTCTGTCCACCAATGGATCACAAAACCAAATCAAAAGGCATGTATAATTCAGCTTCTCATATACTTTTTGGCAATTTAAGTCTAACAGGAGAGTATTCTAATGAAGGAAAGAGCTGCAAAGTAGTTCATTCACTGGATAAATAAGGAAAGAGCTGCAAAGTAGTTCATTCACTGGATAAATAAGGAAAGAACTGCAAAGTAGTTCATTCACTGGATAAATCTCCATATAAGACTCAGTAAAACTTATGAAATATCTACAGTATAGTGTATTTAACAAACAGATTTCATGTTACCTTACATTTGTTTAATAACAGATCACAGATGTCAAAATGTAGTGAGAATAGCAAAGTGGTACACAAGGTGCTGATGATCATACTAGATTTTTAAAATCTTTTGTGATCTATTATTGAACAGATGGCAGTAACACATGGAGTCTATCTCTGTACTAAAGAAGCAAAATGTTATTTATCAAATAGCTGCATATTTCAGCTTATCATTTACAGTAATATCAACATAACTAGCAACTGGAAATTGACTGAAATCCAAAACCCTAAACTGTCTGGGTATGGTAGTTGTGAGATCTAAAACTATGAGGCATATTCTGAAATTTTTGTGGTAAAAATATCATACATACAATCAAAACTTGCTGAAAGATTTAAAAATTATTCTTAACAAGAATGAAAACCTCTGAATTTGAGGTTTGATTTACCATGTAATGAGCAAGGACAGACAAAGCCAGAGGGCTTTAACTTGCCCAAGTCCTTGAAAAAAGCCCAAAGTCTTTTTTCTCTGGGCATCTCCTTTCAATGTCCTCAACACAAGTCATTCACTCATAGCAAAAGAAGCTGACTGCTGGAAGTTTCAGGAGCATACAAGGTGAACTGTTTTGGGATTTTCAGTCCATAATAAGAAAAATACAAAAGCTACTTAAAAGTACAGCTACACATTTAAATAAATACCTTATTAATAAGTGTCATAGCATAGATTAGAACCTCTTCATCTCCTTGGGTTTCTTTATCTGTCATAATTCCTAAGATTTCAGCCCATTCTCTGACACCTTTGAAAAGTAAAAACATAGAGTTAACACTTTGAAAACAACTGCTGCTCAGATTAATAGACATTAGGGTGATTTAGCAAGATAACCAGAACATCAGTTGATGTTGGTGCACGCAGTAAAATACCCCTAAGAAACTGGGTCAAGGTAAGTGACTTAGTCAAAATATAGTTTGCAGATTTAACTTTAATGTTTCCATGGCAACTATGTATTAGTGGACTAAATATAAATACAGCATATCTACAGAAGCATTAGCTGAGCTAACACAGTATGACTCAAATTTAAGATGACTGTCCCCCTAACAAATTGATTCCAAATCCTTGATGCTTCAAAAATTTGAGTATAGAGGCTTGAGATGTTTGAGGTCTTTTGAGAAATTATTATCGCTGTGTGAAGAAAATCTGGCTTAAGTCAAATCGCTGAAAACAGTAATTTGCATTTTGAGTGGCTTATGTACATAAAAGAAGTAATGTGTCAAACATTCTCACTGGCATGATCATTCTTTTTAAGAGGATTGAATTGTTTCCTCCAAATATTATTTGAGTGCTGATGCATTCCTCAAAACTTAACTCTTGATTCTTGAAAAAAAAAAAAAA